TTTCTAAATAAATCCTAATCCATATGTAGATCTTTATAATTCAACGTTCCATGGTGTATATGTACCAGGTAAGGGTTCATCAATCTGAAAGAAGAAAAGATATACATATATTGCATATATCGCACATGAACTAAAAGCATTTTTGACATCCATACCAATTTTGTAAAATTGTCTTCGCAAGCCATCCTAATTTTTGCTGCTGTTGCGGGGGCGTTAAGTGTGAAGTCTGTGCTCAGACCTCGTTCTGTACGTGCATGAGAAATAGCATTCTTAATAGCAAAGTAAGCTGCAGCACCTATAAATAACGGCGGTTCACCCACAGCCTATGAACAAATATTATACAGGATCAAAATAATTATACTATACTTATAATTACTACCTTCGATGAGTACACAGCTCTTGGATTCGGTGCACCAGTAAGCAGACTCACATTAAACTCAGCTGGTATATTACCAAAACCTGCAATTTTATATGTGCTTGGACCTCTTGATAATAATATACCTTGTGGTGAATATATTAGCTCTTCTAAAGTAAATAAACCATATCCCTGCATATAAGCCCCTTCTATTTGTCCAATATCAATAGCGGGATTAATGCTGGAGCCAAGGTCCATGACAATATCAGTGCTCAAAACCTGATGATCCCCAGTTAGACAATCTATTTCTACTACAGTTACACCCACACCGTTTGTGAAATAATTATATTTGCGTGCATTTGGATTATGCACAGAATCATACCCCATGCCTGGCGTTCTATAAAACCCTGTTGCTGAAAGACTTATACGATCAAAATATGCTTTATTTATCCATTCTTTCCAAGTGGCTGTGGGTAGCGCTTCCTTAATAGTTTTAAGTCTTGTATTTAATTTATCACAAGCATCAATAATGGCCATACCATTTAAATCAGAACTAACGCTAGCTGCGGTAGGTGTTGCATTAGGAACCTTATCTGTTGCGAATTCGGATATGTGAATAAAATCTGCCGGTATACCTAAAGCTTTTGCAGCACATTGTATCATTTTTGTATGTAATCCTTGTCCAATTTCTACACCACCATGTGCCAATAACACTGATCCATCTGCATATATATTTATTAAACATCCAGCCTGATTCATGTATAATATATCAAATCCTATTCCATACTTTGTGGGAACAATACTAATACCACGCTTTCTCCAGCGATTACTTTTGTTAAATTCTTGTATCTTTTTTCGTTTTTCATAAAAATTGGATTGCTCTAAACATTCGTCAAAACATCTACAAAAAGTAACTTAATAAGTAAATACGGATACGGTATGTATTTAAATATATATGTATATATTTATTAATACTTCTTAGTAATAGTTTAGTAAAAATAGCATTTTTGCTAATTATTATAAATAATTATTATAAAACAAAAAATATTAGTAAAAATGTTACTAAATTATTACTAATTAATGTACAAACCTATTATAATATATAGTAGAACAAACCTATTAATTTGCAGCGTGTCCAATTTTTGGTTATAGTGCGTGATATCACCAGTTTCATAGAAGTTTAATTTCATTATATCTACATAGTCCTTTCCCAAAATTCGTGCCACATCACGAATCATATGTTCACCAGCGAACATCCCCTGAGGGGCTCCAAATCCACGAAATGCTGTATTTGAAGGTGTATTAGTTTTACATAACCATCCGACTACTTTTATATTAGGTATACGATAACAGTTCTCAAAATGATCCATAGCACGTTCAAGCACCTAAAATAAGATTGCATATCCTTATAAAGTTTCCAACATATTTTATTTTAAAAAATCTTACTCCAAATGATACATCCATGCTCCATCCAGCATTTGCATAGCATTCAATATAACATGCTGTAATAAGGCCCTCATTTGTAAACCCAATTTTATATTTGAATAAGAACGGATGACGTGTGCCTGTAATCATCATATCCTCATCTCTATCAAGCATACAGCGCACGGGTCTTCGTAATCTATAGCAAGCTAATGCGACGGGTACTGCTACCGATACACAGCGTGATTCCTTACCACCAAATCCACCTCCTAAACGCTTTACACGGCACACAACTCTATGTGCTGGTACTGACAAAACTTGAGAAATTAATTTTTGTATTCCGGAAGGATGTTGTGTTGAGGAAAATATCTCAATTTCATCAGTATCTCTAGTAACTGCTATTGCAGCATGTGTCTCTAAGTAAAAATGTTCCTGTGCTCCAACACGACAGGTGCCTTCATAAATATGCGCACAATTCTTAAAAGCTTGATCAACATCGCCTTTCTCC